AACCTTTATACTAAAGTTAACTGGTTAACACACCACCATATCACACTATTAAAGTATTCTTACCTTAACTGTGTACTTAGATTTACAACTCTATGGTGTATTTTCATGTTTTCATGGTATTATTTAGTGTTCTTCTATTTTAGCTTGAGGAACTCTTTTAGAATTTCTTCTAAGACAGATCTAGTGATGATGAACTCCCTCAGCTTTTGTTTTTTGAAACGAGTTTTTTATCTCTTCATTTAAGGACAAGTATGGTGGATAGGATATGCTTGGTTGGCAGTTTTTCTTGTCTTTTCTTTTTTATTGAGCAATTTGAATATATCATCCCACTCTCTTCTGGCCTGTGAGGATTCTGCTGCGAAATCAACTTTTAATCTTATGAGGGTTCTCTTGTAAGTTATAAGCTTCTCTCCTCTAGTTGAGTTTAAGATTCCTTGTTTTTGAGAGTTGACAGTTTTACTATAAGGTGTTTTGGAGAAGAATTTTTTTTTTTGAGTTAAGTTCGTCTGGTGCCCTATGAGCTTCATGAACTTGGATATCCAAATCTCTCCCGAGATTTGGAAATTTCTCAGCCACTATTTATTTAAAAAAGCCTTCCATCTCTATCTTTTCCTTCTAAGACTCCATAATTCACAGAATGTTTCTTTTGTTGGTATCTATAGATCACATAGTCATTCTTCAACTCTTTTTATCTTTGCTCTCCTCTGAGTGTATATTTTCAACTTACTGTCTTCTAACTCACAGAAAATTTCTTCTGATCTGTTTATTTATTTTCAAATTTATCCATTTATCTTTGGCTGCATTGGGTCTTCGCTGTTGCGTGCGGGCTTTTCTCTAGTTGCGGCAAGCGGGTGCTACTCTTCGTTGCAATGCGTGGGCTTCTCATTGCGGTGGCTTATCTTGTTGCGGAGCACGGGCTCTAGGTGCGTGGGCTTCAGTAGTTGTGGCTCGTGGACTCTAGAGGACAGGCTCAGCAGTTGTGGCACACGGGCTTAGTTGTTCCGCAGCTTGTGGGATCTTCCCAGACTAGGGCTCGAACCCGTGTCCCCTGCATTGGCAGGCGGATTCTTAACCACTGCACCACCAGGGAAGCCCTCTTGATCTGTTTAGATATTGATGATGCTTACTGTGTTTCTTTTATTTTTCTTGTAATATATTGAACATATAATATTATTTGAATTTAAGGTGTACAGCATGGTGATTTAATACATTTACATATTATACTATGATTGCCAATGTAGCAGTAATTATCACAGCTATCATGTCACATAATCATTATTTCTTTACTGTGTTTGGAAAAATTAAGATCTGGTCTATTAGCAAGTTTGATCATAATACGATACCATTGTTTATGTTCACTATACATCAGATCTTTAAGAATTATTTACTATTAGTTAATGTTTGTACCCTTAAACAACATCTCTCCTATTCCCCACACCTCAGGCCCTGGTAACCAACATTCTACTCTTTGTTTTTATGAGTTTGACTTTTTTCTAAATTTTATTTTACATATAAATGATATCACATAGTGTTTGTCTTTCTCTTTTTGACTTATCTCAGCATAATTTACCCAAGGTACATCAATATAAAAAATGGTCGAATTTCCTTCTTTCTTATGACTGAATAATATTCATTGTGTGTATGTATATATACGTATAGCTATCACATCTTTCTTATCCATTCATCTGTTGATGGATAAATACCACAACAGGATAAACACCTGCCCCTAGGTTCTTCAGAACCATTGTTTTTTTTATATATTCCATATATATGTGTTAGCATTTGGTATTTGTTTTTCTCTTTCTGACTGTAGCTCTATTTACAATAGCCAGGACATGGAAGTAACCTAAGTGTCCATCGACAGATGACTGGATAAAGAAGATGTGGCACATACATACAATGGAATATTACTCAGCCATAAAAAGAAACGAAATTGAGTTATTTGTAGTGAGGTGTATGGGCCGTTGGATTTTTTAGAGAGATTTCTTTGAATCTACCAATGGCGGGCGTTGAGATAAGTACTTTTTTTTTTTTTTTTGGCGGTACGCGGGCCTCTCACTGTTGTGGCCTCTCCCGTTGCGGAGCACAGGCTCCGGACGCGCAGGCTCAGCGGCCATGGCTCACGGGCCCAGCCACTCTGCGGCATGTGGGATCTTCCCGGACCGGGGCACGAACCTGTGTCCCCTGCGTCGGCAGGCGGACTCTCAACCACTGCGCCACCAGGGAAGCCCTAAGTATCTTATTTTTGATGCTATTGTAAATTAGTTTATTTTTTCAGATGTTTTACTACTTGTGTGTAGAAATACAACTGATGATGTATGTTGATTTTATATACTGCAATTTTACCCACTTTGTTGATTAGTTACAACATTTTGGGATTCCTTGGGATTTCTTACATACAAAATCATACCATCTTCAAATAATGAGAATTTTTGTTCTTCCTTTCTGATTTGGGTGCCTTTCTTTGTCTTTCCTGATTGCCCCAGCTAATACTTCCAGTACTATCCTGCATAAGAGTGATTCAGTGGGCATCACTGTGTTGTTCTTGATCTTGGCAGAATAGCTTTTACCTTTTTACCATCGAGTATGATGTTAGCTGTGGGCTTGTTTTGTATGGCCTTAATTATGTGGAGGTGTGTTCCCCCTATACTCAGTCTATTCAGAATTTTTCATCATAAAAGAATTGTATTTTGTCCAATGCTTTTTTCGGATCTATTGAAATGATTATGATTTTTATTTTTACCCTTATTAATGTGGTGTACCCCACATATTTATTTGTGTATGTTGAACCATTCTTACCTCTCAGTGATAAATCCCACTTGGCCCCAGTGTATAATCCTTTTAATGTACTGTCGAATTTGTTAATATTTTGTTCAGAATTTTTGCATCTATATTAATCAGTTTTATTGGCCTAGTTTTCTTGTAGACTCATTGTCTGGCTTTGGTGTCATGGAAATGCTGGCCTCATAGAACAAGTTTAGAAGTATTCCTTTCTCTTCAATTTTTTGGAAGAGTTTGAGAATCATTGGCATTAATTCTTCTTAATAGGTTTGATAGAATTCACCAATAAAGTCATCTGGTCCTTGAGTTTTCTGTGTTGGGAATTTTTTGATTGCTGATTCAATCCCTTGTTATTGGTCTGTTCAGATTTTCTATTTCTTCCTGATTCAGTCTTTGTAGGTAGTGAATTTCTAGGAAGTATCAGTTTCTTCCTGAGTATCTAATTTGCTGGCATACAATTGGTCATAATAGTCTCTTGTGATCCTATGTATTTCTGTAGTATCAGCTGTAGTGTCTGCTCTTTCATTTCTAATTTTGTGTCTTCTATTTTCCTACTATAGCTAAAAGTTTGTGAATTTTATATTTTTGAAAATCCAGCTTTTAGTTTGTTGATCCTTTCTATTGATTTTCTTGTATATGTTTTATTTATTTCCACTCTAGTCTTTATGATATCCTTCCCTCTGCCAACTTGGGAATAAATGTCTTCTTTTTCTGCTTCCTTGAGGTGTAGAGTTAGATGTTTGAGAGCTTTCTAATTTCTTGTTGTATGCACTTATCACTATAAACTTTCCTCGATGAACTGCTTTTGCAGCATCTAATAGGTTTTGGTATGTTGTTTCCATTTTCGTTGGTTCTGAGATTTTAAAAAAATTTCCTTTGGCTTTCTTTTTTGACCTACTTAATTTTTTGGAAGGGTGCTGTTTAGTTTTCACATATTTATAGATTTTCCAGATGTCGTCTTGTTGATTTCTAGTTTTCTATCACTGTGTTCAGATAGTTGGTATAATTCTGATCTTCTTAAATTTGCTAAGACATGTTTGTGTCCTATCATATGATCTATCCTGGAGTATGTTCCATGTGCACTTGAGCATAAGTTGTTGGATGTAATGTTCTACATGTGCCTGTGAAGTCCATTTGGTGTAGTATATAGACCAGGGTTTTCTTGTTGATTTACTATATGCATGATCTAGCCATCGCTGAGAGTGGAGTATTGAAGTCCCCTACTATTAATATATGGTCTATTTTTCCCTTCAGATCTGTATTTGCTTAATATATCTAGTTACTCTGATGTTGGCTGTGTGTATTTATAGCTTCTTGATTTATTCACCCTTGTATCATTATATAACGACCTTCTTTGTGTCTTGTCATTGCTTTTGGCTTAAAGTCTGTTTGTCTGATATGAGTATGGCTACCTCCACATTATTTGGCTTCTACTTGCATGGAATATAATCATCCATCTCTTTACCTTGAGCCTATGTGTGTCTTTAAAGCTGAAATTAATGTCTTATATAAAGAACATAATTGGGTCTTATACATTTTTATCCAGCCAGCCACTCTATAGCTTTGATTTGTGAATTCAACCATTTACATTTAGAGTGATTTTTGATATGTAAGGACTTATTACTGCCATCTTATTAATTGCTTTCTGATTGTTTTATAACTCCATTGTTTCCTTTTCCCCTCTGTGTCTACCTTTGTAAGTTGGTGCTTTACCATGTTGCTGTGTTTCCTTTCTTTTTTTTTTTTTTGCGGTACGCGGGCCTCTCACTGTTGTGGCCTCTCCCGTTGCGGAGCACAGGCTCCGGACGCGCAGGCTCAGCGGCCATGGCTCACGGGCCCAGCCACTCCGCGGCATGTGGGATCCTCCCAGACCAGGGCACGAACCGGCGTCCCCTGCATCGGCAGGAGGACTCCCAACCACTGCGCCACCAGGGAAGCCCTCCAATGATTTTTAATAACCAAAATTTACAAGATAAAGACCATATTCTCCATTATGGTTTTAAGTAGGACTCTCCCTCAGACAAAACTTCTAGTTTCAGGAAAGCCTCAGCTTAAAAAATGCAGACCTTTTCATCCCTACATAGGTGTCTATTTATCCAGTTTCCCAAATTCCAGTCACTTGCACACTGAAGACAAGTAAATGTTAATTAATTAATAGCTTCCTACTGACATTATAACTTAATATTTTCCTATGTGTTGACTCGGTTTCTTATTAATTTACCAATATTTTCCTTTATTTTTCTTTCAGTTCTATTGAGATATTATTGACATACAGTACTGTAGAAATGGTGGGTGTACAGCATAATGACATATGTTGTGAAAGGATCAGGAAACAATTTAAATTTTAAAAAAATTACTAAATACTTCATATGACAGTTTGGTAGCCTCCATTTAAAACATAAGTTAAATTTACACAATTCATAACATTACATGAGATGGGCTGTGCAGTTCTCAATATATCTGGTGTTCTGAAATTTGTACATAAACCACAGCTGGGGAAGTGCTAATTCATGAGACAAATTCTGCTCCTTTCTTCTTTCTTTTACTCCAGTAGTCGCCTCTGAGCCCTGTTAGCCTGGAGGCTGAATCTTCCGTGCCTTGGGGCAGGGCGGGTCACTCCCCTCAGAGGAGACCAGAAGGTCCTCCTGGAGAACGTGGACTGGGATATGGGTCAGTATCACCCAGGTTCCCCTAAGAGGTGAAACATCTGACTTGTAGGAGAAGGCTTCTTAGGAGGATGAAATGAAAGGTGTTCTGAACCTGGAGCCCTCCCCGCATCCCTTGTCCCATCATGAAGACAATTCTGAGGGGTTGGTCTGGAACATGCGTAGATGGTGGAGGTTGGGGGACAGTGCAGGCCTGGATTGGGCTCAGGTGAGGTGAGTTGGGTAGAGGCTGGGAGTCAATGCTTAGCATTGGGGCAGGTGTCCTTATGGTCATTTGGTGTGCCTGTGTGAATCCAAGTCCAGTTGTACTGGGAAGAGGATAAAGGCTGTGGATAATTCCACAGATCAGGTCTCTGAGTATCCTCAGAGGATGAAAGGGACCTGAGTCTTACATTTTTGTGAGGAGGGGGTAGGTAGGAGGGGAAGATCTAGCAAAACAGGTTGGAGACCCAGGCAGATCTCTTGCCTGCTGCCTGAGTTTGGAGTCCTGATCACATTTATGTTTGACATTCTCTGGTCTGCACATTGAGTCTACACTTCAGTGCTCTGTGGTTGGTGACATGGTCCAGACCAGATGTCTTGGTGGCAAGCTGGGGAACGTCATAGGAGAAGCTCCCAGGCCTGTTGGCAATGATGTTTGAGGACTGGCCAATGTGGTTCGCTGTAGGTTGTGAGGTTTAACGATATCCTCATCCTTTAACTGGTCCACAAGTTGAGAACAAAGAGCTCAGTACAGAGCTCTTGATGTAAGGCTGTGCATGGCAGATGGCCCTCATATCGAGTGTCTTGAGTGATGGATGACCTGTGAAAACAAGTTCCTTGACGAATTTTTTTAGTGACTGTGTGCACAGTAATTGGCTTGGAAGGATGTGGGAGAAGACACCACAACTATAAAGTATATTTGAATTGCCTCTCAATCAAGAGAAAAAATAGAAGCAAACAAAAATATCTGGAACCTATGAAATTAAATTTCACTGTAAAAGAAAAATGATCATTTTACACATGAAGAGGCACCCAACCTCAATGATGGTCAGGGGGAAATAAATTACAAAGCCAATGTAATCATTTTTCTTCTCTTATATAGAAAACGTAAAGTGCCTTTGTAGCGTCTCTTGTCAACATCAGTGGAAACAAGCCCTTTGATGTACTCTTGCAGGGAGTATACATGACTAATATCCCTTTTGAGGCAGTTTGTCCCCTCGTTTGCTTCTACACGTTCTGGACTTTAGGGGTTCTGTGGTGCTGATGTCTGTGTGATGATCGGGAAATTTGCTATGTCCTTCCACCTCTGGTCAATCTCCTTCAGGCATTGATAACTTGATTTCCTGAAGTAGAAGAAAAAAGGCAAAAAAAATCATATACACATTGAGACAAGACAGTGGAATAGAAGGACGTGGAGTTCAAAAAGAAAAAGGAAACCAAACGACCAAATAGTTCTGTCTCATTACTTCAACCTCACGCTTCACCCCCAGACAAATCCCAACTCCTGGAAAACCACTCTGCAGAGGGAGCTGTCCTCTGGAGGTGGGGAGACTGTAAAGGAGGAGGCTAGAGGTGGGAAACTCACCAGCAGGAGACCTGGTGACCACGTAACTTTTCAGAGCTCTTCCAGCCCAGAGAGTCCACCGTCCTTTGGGGGGATGGGGCTTCGTTAGGGGTAGGAGTGCCCACCTGGATCTGGAGACTGTGGTCCCACGCAGATGGGACCAGGCACTACAGGTCCGAGGAGGGCTCAGTTGCTGCACCATCCTTCCCAGGTCCCTCTGTCCCAGGTCAGTCCAGCCTTGGGACCCAAGCCGGCTCATATTCTAGGGGTGGCACGGCAGCCCGGGTCACTGAGGCCTGAGGGGAACACACGAGGCATTGTTTTAAATTTAATTTTTATTTTATATTGCAGTTTACTTGATTTATCATATTGTGTTGTTTTAGGTGTTCAGCAGGTTGATTCAGTTGCACATAGACATATATATGTTCTTTATTCCTATTCTTCTCAATATAGGTTATTAAAGAGTGTTGGGTAGAGTTCCCTGTGCTAAACAGTAGGTCCTTGTTGATGATCAATTTCATACATATTCCGGCATATATGCTAATCCCACCTTCTCATTTGTCCCTTCCTGCTACCTTTCCCCTTTGGTGAACACATGTTTGTTTTCTAAGTCTATGAGCCGGATATTGTTTTATAAATTGATTCCTTTGTATCAGTGTTTGAATTAGACCTCTAAGTGATATCACGTGAGATTTCTCTTTCCTTTCTGACTTACTTCCCTTAGTATGATCACTTCTAAGTCCATCCGTGTTGCTGCAAGTGGCAGTATTGCCATTTTTATGGCTGAGCAGTATTCCGTTGTCTGTATGTGCTCCCTCTTCTTTGTCCATTCATTGGTCTGTGAACATTTTCTTTGCTTCCACGTCTTGGCCGTTGAACATACAGATGCTACAGCCGTTGGGGTACACGGGTGTTTTCGAATGCTGGTTTTCTCTGGATATCTCCAAAGGAGTGGGACTGCTGGATCATCTGGTCTCTTTATTATTAATTTTTTAAGGAACCTCCATACTGTTGTTTATCGTGGCAGTTACCAGGTTCCGTTTCCACCAGCAGCGTAGGCAGGTTCCCTTTTCTCCACGCTCTCTCCGGCTCTTATTGTTTGTAGACATTTTGATGATGGCCATTGTGACTGGTCCGAGGTGATACCTCCTTGTAGGTTTTTTTTGGTTTTTTTTTGCGGTACGCGGGCCTCTCACTGCTGCGGCCTCTCCCGTTGCGGAGCACAGGCTCCGGACGCGCAGGCTCAGCGGCCATGGCTCTCGGGCCCAGCCACTCCGCGGCATGTGGGATCTTCCCGGACAGGGACACGAACCCGTGTCCCCTGCATCGGCAGGCGGAGTCTCAACCACTGCGCCACCAGGGAAGCCCCCTTCCTTGTAGTTTTGATATCCGTTTCTCTGATAGGTAGGGCTGCTGAGCACCTTGACTTTTGCTTTTTTTTTTTTTTCTTTTATTCGTGTGTGTAGAAGTTACCCCTTTAAATTGGCTTCTTCACGGTCGTCAGAGTTTTAAATTCTTTTTTCCATTTCCTACCCAAGGACATTTCTTGAGGGCAGGTGTCATTTACAGCCCCCCAGGCTTTGTGAATATGAAGTGCTCATAAGCACTGGTTTTAAAGCTGTCGTTGCGGTATCGGCCACAAGGTGGCAGGATTTCTTCATCCCCAAAGCTGGTTATTCTTGCCACAAGGACCCGAGAGAAAGTTGTATTTCTGGGTGTAAATTCGAGTGGTATGGGGCTGAAAATCAACCAAGGAGACTTCCCTGGCGGTCCAGTGGTTAACACTCTGATCTTCCAGTATAGGGGCTCGGGTTCAATTTCTGGTCTGGGAAATTGGATTGCCCATGCCACGTGGCCAAAAAAAAAAAAAAAGAGAAAGAAAAACAACCTAAGGAGTTGCGTCTCATTAATTCTTTGCCCTTACACTTCACCCCCGGGCAAATTCCAACCCCTGGGACACCATACTGCAGAGAGAGCTGTTCTCTGGAGGTGGGGAGACTGTAAGGGAGGAGGCTAGAGGCGGGAAACTCACCAGCAGGAGACCTGGAGACCAGCTGACTTTTCAGAGCTCTTCCAGCCCAGAGAGTCCACCGTCCTCTGGGTGCACTGGGCTTGGTTCAGGGGTAGAAGTGCCCACCTGGATCTGGAGACTGTGGTCCCATGCAGTCGGGACCAGGCACTACAGGTCCAAGGAGGGCTAATTTGCTGCACCATCCTTCCCAGGTCCCTCTGTCCCAGGTCAGTCCATCCTTGGGACCCATGCCGGAGATGTGACACAAGCACAGGTCACCGAGGGCTGAGAGGGACGTAGGAGGCATTTCGTTTTTGAATTTGTTTTATTTTATATTGGAGTAGATTGTTTAACAATGTTGTGTTGTTTTAGGTGTTCAGCAAGTTGATTCAGTTTTACATAGAAATATATCTGGTTTTTTCCTGATTCTTTCCCCATATAGTTTATTAAAGAGTGTTGGGTAGAGTTTCCCAACATACAGTGGCATACAGTAGGTCTTTGTTGATTATCGATTTCACATATATTATGGGGAACATGCTATACCTCATTTGTCCCTTTCCACCACCTTTCCGCTTTGGTATCCATACTTTTGTTTTCTAGGTCTGTGAGGCTGTTTATGTTTTGTAAATTGGTTCCTTTGTATTAATGTCTGGTTTCCACCTTTAAGTCACATCATGTAATATTTCTCTTTCCTTTCTGACTTACTTCACTTAGTATGATCACCCCTAAGTCCGCCTGTGTTGCTTCAACGGGCATTATTTCATTTTTTTTTTAACGGCTGAGTAACATTCCATCGTCCTGGGCATATAAACAGCAAAAACCAGAATTTGAAAAACTTTCACCCCAACATTCACTGTAGCACTATTTACAATAGCCAAGACATGGAATCAACCGAAATGTCCATCAACAGATGAATGGATAGAGAAGAACTGGTACATAGACACAACAGAATATTATTCAGCCATAAGAAGGAAGGAAATCATGCCATCTGCAGCAATACGGAGGGATCTCAGACGATCATACTAAGTGAAGTAAGTCAGACAGAGCAAGACAAATATCATATGATAACCCTTATAGGTGGACTCTAGAAAGTGATACCAGTGAACTAATTTCAAGAGAGAAACAGACTCAAAGTTAGTTATTAGAGACGTGCAAATCAAAACTACAAAGAGGTATCACCTTGCACCAGTTAGAATGGCCATCACCAAAAAGTCTACAAACTGTAAATGCTAGCAAGGGTGTGGAGAAAAGGGAACCCTCCTACACTGTTGGTGAGAATGTAAACGGGTCACAGCCACTAGGGAGAACAGTAGGGCGGTTCCTTAACAAGCTAAAAATAGAGCTACCGTATGATCCGGCAGTCCCACTCCTGGGCGTGTATCAGGAGAAAACCAGAATTTGAAAAACATGCACCCCAACGTTCACTGCCACACTAGTTACAACAGCCAAGGCATGGAAACAACCAAAATGTCCATCAACAGATGAATCAATAAAGAAGAAGTGGTACATCGAGACAAATGAATATTATTCGCCATAAAAAAAGACTGAAATAATGCCATTAGCAGCAACGTGGATAGACCTAGAGATGATCACACTAAGTGAAGCAAGTCATATGGAGACAAAAAAATGTCATATGATATCACTTAGTGCTGGAATCAAATAAGTGATACCAAGGAACTAATTTGTAAAAGAGACACAGATTTAGAAAAACAACTTATGGTTACCAAAGGAGAATGTTGGGGGGAAGGGATAAATTAGGAGGTTGAGATGTACATAAACACACTAATACAAACGAAATAGCTAATCAACAGGGACCAACTGTATAGTTCAGGGAACTCTACTCGACACTCTTTAATAACCTATTGGGAACAGAATCCGAAAAGAATAGATAAATGTATATGTATAACTGAATCAACTTGCTGTACACCTACAAATCACAACATTGTAATTAAACTTTACTCCAGGAAAACAACAAAAATTAAATTAAAAAAAAACAAGAAGCGATTATCACAGGCATTTGGGTGTATGTTCTGGTTAATTCCCCTGTAATTTACAATGCACAGAGGAGTGCAACTAAGGCTCTGGTTGCCCCAGTAACCAGTGTTGGGCATGAAGAAATCCTTCCACCACCCTGTGGTCATTTTCTTTAACAGCAAGTTAAAAACCAGGTCATTTGGGCACTTCATATTCACAAGCACTCCTGGGCTATGAATGACACGTACCCTCAAGAAATGTCCTGGGGTAGGTAATTGAAAAAGAAGTCAAAGACGGCAGCCTTTCAAGATGCCAATTTCAATAGGTAAATTTTACTCTCACCATTTAAAAAAAAAAAAAAAACACGTGAAAATTTGTTCAACATAGCTAATTATTAGAGACACGCTAATTGAAATCTCAACGAGGTATCACCTCGCGCCAGCCAGAATGGCCATCATCAAAAAGTCTGCGAACTGTAAATGCTGGCAAGGGTGTGGAGAAAAGGCAAGCCTCCTACACTGTTGGTGGGACTGTAAACTGGTCACAGCCACTGTGGAGGACAGTATGAATGTTCCTTAACAAGCTAAAAATAGAGCTAGCATATGATCCGGCAGTCCCACTGCTGGGTGTATACCTGGAGAAAACCAGAATTCGAAAAACATGCACCCCAACGTTCACTGCCACACTAGTTACAACAGCCAAGGCATGGAAGCAACCAAAACGTCCATCGACAGATGAATCAATAAAGAAGTGGTACATAGAGACTACTGAATATTACTCAGCCATAAAATAGACTGAAATAATGCCATTTGCAGCAACATAGTATAATCATCCCTAGGTCCATCTGTGTGAAGTAAGTCAGATAGAGAAAGACAAATATCATATGATATCACTTATAGGTGGAATCTAAAAATTAATACCAATGAGCTGATTTACAAAAGACAGATCACAGACTTTGAAAACATATTTATGTTTACCAAAGAGGAAAGGTGGGGTAAAGGGATAAATTAGGTGGTTGGGATTAAATATACATACTAAGACATATAAAATAGGTGATCAAAAAGAAATACTGTAGCACAGGGAACTCTGCTAACATTCTGTAATAATCTATGTGGGATAAGAATTCAAAAATGAATAGACATATGTATATGTAGAGCTGAAGAAGTTGATGTTGACCTACAAAGGAACACAACATTGTAAATCAACATTACTCCAACAAAAAATAAAAATTAAATTAAAAATAAAATATAGGTAATGAGACGCAAGCTTTTGGGTGTTAGTTCTGGTATAGTTGACGCTAATTTACAACCCAGGAACGTGAATCCCACTAAAGCTCTGGTTGCCTGAGTAACCAGAGTTGGTCATGAAGAAATGCTGCCGCCTTGTGGCCGTTTTCCATAACAGCAAGTTAAAAACCAGCGCTTCTGGGCATGTAACACTCACAAGTACTGTGGGGCTGTAAATGAACTTGCCTGCAAGAAATGTCTTGGGGTAGGCAATCAAAAATCAATTCAAAAGAGGACAGACTTTGAAAAAGCCAATTTCAACAGGTAAATATTACTCACACTGTTAAAAAAAAACAAAACAAAACACGTGCAAAGACGCTAAACATCACTAATTATGAGAGACATGTAAGTCAAAACTACAAAGAGGTATCACATTGCACCTGTCAGAGTGGCCATCATCAAAAAGTCTGCAAACAATAACTGCTGGATAGGGAACCTCCTTTGCTGTTGGTGGGAATGTAAACTGGTCACAGCCACTATGGAGGTTCCTTAAC